CCAAGCACAAGCCTATAGGAAATTAACTAATGTCCCTCAAATTCACAATTCCCACCACACATCGGCATGTTGGTGGGAAGTGAAAGTGCGGCAATTTTGAAAACTTTCCTTGTTTGAAATAGAATTCCATCTCGTGCATTTGTGCCAATTTTTTCCCCTAATGAACTGCACACGTTTGGATTCCGTCCATTTCATCAATCCGATATGGTCTTATATTACTTTAATTACAATCTACAAACATTAATACAAGATCGTATAATTAATATGTAGTTAACTATGTTTGTTGCATATTAATAAAATTGCAACATTTTGGCTTTATTTATGATAGCTAATAAATAATTAATTTTTGGACTAATTTGTCTAAATTAATCATACACCATGATATTGGACCGATATGGTCATACAATTAGCAAACCACTACTGTTTACGCATTTACCCATATTAAAGAAATAATTAACATTTTTGGGCAAAAACCACCCCAATTTGTACAAAATTTATGGGGTTAAAAACAAAAAAGCCCCCTGTGCTAAACCTAATATACAAATAAGCCCCCTATGGTTTCAAAATATACAACGCGACACCTCGTGCTTTGAACTAAGTTGTAACACTAACGGAAATTGGTAAAATTAACGGGAACTGATGAAAGACCAAAATGCCCTTGTATAATACTCAAAAGGCAATTGAACAGACTCATTTCTTCCCTTCAAACCCTACGAAGAGAGAGAGAGAGAGAGAGAGAGAGAGAGGGAAAGCGAGAGCGAGAGAGAGGAAGTAAAGCCCAACCAAACGGTCTCATCTTCTTTGCTGCAATAGACGCTTTCTGTGGGGGTAAAAAGATGGCGAAAGGAAAGTTCATTATGTAGCTTGGGATCAGGTTTGCTTGCCAAAAGAGTGTGGTGGCTTGGGTATTAGAAATCTTTCACTTCTCAATGAAGCAGCCCTCAACAAACTTGGGTGGAATTTGTTGAAACATGAGGATGGTCTTTGGCAGCAAATCCTTTACAGTAAATATGGTAGCAACGCTTTCTCGTGTAAATCAAATGCTTCCCATCTGTGGAGAGGTATATGGAGCACGGCTGCTATTTTGGATGAGGGAGTTTGTTGGAGAGTGGGTAATGGGAAATCCATTCACTTTTGGTTAGATACCTGGCTTACGGATTCACCTCTAGCTAGTATCGTACTAGAAATCCCAGAAGAACATCTTTCACCTAAGGTGATTGACTACTGGAATGGTAATGATTGGCATTGGTTTGATCTGCAACCAGTACTGCCACGGGAATTTTTGAACCTTCTCCGTGCTCCGTGCTCAGTACAATTTAGGGTTACCCATCTCAGATTTTGAGGGTTGATGATGTTATTTACACCCAAATATGCAATATTTGGGTGTTTACCTTAGAAAATTCTTGATTTTGTGAGTTTTGAGACTGGTACTTTGGATTTAAAATGAAGATTTTTGCTGTTTTGGGACTACGACTTTGGTTTTGAAGCCGAGATTTTTTTTTTAAATTTTGGGTGTTGGAACTAGGAGTCATGCAAATAATTTCTGAAATGTCCATTTCTAATGGGAGATTTTTGCTGATTTGGGACTGCAAGTTTGGATTTAAAGCCGAGATTTTTGTTGATATTTGGGTGTTGACTAGGTGACACAAATAATTTCTGAACTTTCCACTTGTGATGGGAAATTTTTGCTGATTAGGGGTGTTGAGTAGGATCTGTTAGCCAAAACCCAAAATCAAATCCTTTTACCTTAGCCAAGATTGTGTAGTAGTTCCTCGCAGGTTGACTTCGTATCTGGAGAATGGCTTTACCTTTCAAACTTCCTGCGTGGTAATTTGATTTCTCCCAAAGGCTAGTTCAATTTCTCTCAATCAAGTAGAAATCGATTCTGTACACAAGCATCGCTGGGAGGGAGTTTTATTGGGGGCGAAGGGGTACAATAGGAATATTTGCTAAAAATTAAGTATAAAGAATTTGTTTTTAGCTTCCAGTACATCAGTCCCGTTAATTTTACCGATTTCCGTCACTGTTACAACTTAGTTCAAAGCACGAGGTGTCGCGTTGTATATTTTGAAACCATAGGGGGCTTATTTGTATATTAGGTTTAGCACAGGGGGCTTTTTTGTTTTTAACCCAAATTTATGTATTGAAGTAATTTGGGTATGACAATTAAAATTAATTTTTTGGACTAATTTACTCCGAGTTTTTTTTTGGTTAAATCAAACATCTAACTTGACACTGCCAACCAAACATTGGACAACAGGATTACTCATCCAAAGATGAGTAATCGTCTCTCATTTCACGGAGAGTTCGTTTGCTCCATTGGATCATATGATAATTTGAAGTTATTTACTTCTATTACTTGTTATAAATGACTATTCATTTATGTTATAAATGAATAGTCACCCATATTAAAATAATAGAAGTAAATAACTATTTTTTTAAACAAATAAAATAATAATCACTTGCTATTATTTTTCTCGAGCTCAACTAGGCTCAAACTATCATAGATTAATGTTGAACTCGAGTTTTAAAATGAAAGTTGATAGAGCTCAAGATCGTTGTCAAGATTTGCATTGTACCAAAAGCAATTTTGCAATCCTCAAGTAAGTAATTCCATCTCATGCTATTATTGATAGAATAAATATTGATGTTTATTTGTTAAACTAAACGTCTAACGCAAAACCAACCAAACACTGGATAACAAGATTACTCATCCAAAGATGAGTTACCGCCTCTCATTTCATGCAAAGTTCATTTGCTCCATTGGATGAATATATTTTAACAAATTGATGGTATAAATGACTATTTTATTCTTCTTTTATAAATGACTCTTTGTGCCGTCTTATATTACTTTTATTACAATCTACAAACATTAATGCAACACCTTCTATATAATAATTTATTCAAACAATCGTATAAACTATGTTAACTAGATATTAATAAAATTACAGAATTTTGACTTTATTTATCATAACTAATAAAAAATTAAGTTTTGGACTAATTTGTTTAAATTAATCATACACCATGATTTTTGACCAATATGGTCATACAGTTAACAAACCGCTGCTATTTACGCATTTACCCATATTAAAGAAATAAATAACATTTTTGGGAAAAAAACCCGCCCCATTTTGCACAAAATTTATGTATTGGACTAATTTGGGTATGACAATTACACTTAATTTTTTGGACTAATTTACCCCTATTTTTTTTTTGGTTAAACCAAACATCTAACATGACACTGCCTACCAAATGCTAGACAACAAGATTATTCGTCTCTCATTTCATGTAGAGTTCGTTTGCTCCATTTGATCATATGATAATTTGAAGTTATTTACTTCTATTACTTGTTATAAATGACTATTCATTTATGTTATAAATGTCTTTTTTTAAACAAATAAAATAATGATCACTCGTTATTATTTTTCACAAGCTCAAGCTCGAGATTAATGTTGAACTCGAGCTTTAGAATGAAAGCTGATGGAGCTCAAGATCGTACTGGAAGTTGCGAAAATTGAGCCAATTCAGCTCATTTTGCAATCCTATATGTTATGGAACCTTGTTATTAAATCTATGTACTTTTGTAAATTCAATATTAATACATTAATCAAAAAATGAATAAAAAAATGGAGCCTTGCAATCCGATATGATTCGATAGCCCGTTTGCAAATTAATAATAATTTAATAAATATAAAAATTATTTTATCTAACTAAACTAAGTTATTTTTTTTCCAAAGGCATTAATCACTTAATCCTAAATGAATTTATTTAACTTGTGTGAAGTTAAAGTTATTATATTTGGACAAATAATGTATTATATTATTTTTTACTTTTATATTGTTTTAATTTATTTTATATTTGGTTTGGGATAAAACACCTTTACGATGTTTGATTTATTTTAGATTTGGTTTGGGATTATTTATTTAAATTTTTATTACTTGATTATGTAATTAGTTTTGTGCGAAATTGATTTTATTAGAAATTACAATGATAAATTAATAAATTAAAATTAAGTTTCGGATCATTTCGGGTCGCCCCGCAAATCAGAAATTTTTGAGTTCGTGTCAAGTATCTTGACCTGTTTCGGTTTGGTGGGTCAGGTTCAGATCAGCGGGTTTTCTGTTACACTCAGGTCTAAACCCAACCCATCACCCCGATTTGGACCCGATTACCACCCCTAATCATACTGGAAGTTGAGAAAATTGAGTTGATTCAACTCATTAAATCTATATTTTTTTGTAAATATAATATTAATATATGTAATCAAAAAATAAACAAAAAAGAATCTGGCAAAAATACAATATATTACGGCTACTTTGTATTTGCTGCTTTAATTTGAAGTATCATAGTTAATAGAACAAAGTAAAGTATAGTGAATTTTTTGCAAAAAATATAAAACATTTACCCATATCAAGATTTCTATGGTACCAAAAAATTCACTCGGAACTGTGATCTGTTTTGTTTTGTTCATTCTGATAATGCCCACACGGAGTGTTATTGATATATTTCATCTGCTGAAGTCTCTGGAGTTTGTCAAAAAGAACCGCTCAATTACAGCTCAAGTGCTCTTGATATCCCCGAGGTGCACTTTATTTTATTGCAGTTTATTTTATTGAACAGCGAGTACTCTTCTTTTACCTTTTAACCCGGTGGCCTATTGCTCAGTTTTTGGCTGTATTAGTTGACAAGTTTTACTCTTCTATATTTTATTAATTCCCACACCACTGGTACAGTTTTGATACTAGACTATAGAGCTGTCCCTTCATATACACCTTACAGATTTGAAATATAGAAGCAATCTTAACCCCCCACCACTTTTGTGCTCCATGCATCAGTTCTAGCAACTTTAGAAGGGAGATGCTTGGCCCCTACTCTTGTTTATTAATACTAGGAGGCACAAACCGCGCGGTGCGCGGTGATATAAATATTTTTCATGCCCATGCCTGCAAGTTCATAGCTAAGGAAGAACTAACGATGAAATAACTTAATGGAGAAGAGGCTCACAAGAAAGCAACATGCGCTAACCACAATCAAATTACATTATATATTTTAGAAACAGAATAAATTTTATAATGCCATAGATACATATTTTCAATTCGTTTTTGTTAAGGACAACAACAGCAAAAGAATTGCTGGATTGAGGAAGAAAAACAAGCATTTCGCCTTCTTCGAGAGAATGATCAGCCGCAAATTTCAGTTTTGATGGAAATTCTTTTCTATCATTTCGATGACATAAATTTTGCTCTCATTCTGCAATACTATCGTTGGAGTTGTGCTTTCCTCAAGGGAACAATCAGCAGACTTTGAAACTTCCTACAAGCAACAAATTTATGAAAAGTTTCAATTAGATCACAATAAAGTTCTAATGCCGAGAATTTAAAATACAACATGCATATAGATACGTATCAAACAATACTTACACACAGGAGTATAAAACTGATAAAAAACAATTAAGAATCGTGCAATCATGGCTAAGAAAGGGATTTATAGATGATGTAATTGTCTTGGAAAGTGTTTGCTGATCCATGCATTGTGCAGTCAAACAAAGAGATGAAAAATTCTCTCCTAGAATGGATAGCAAAGTCTATATGTAATGGCGTGCAATCTCAGTAACTTTTTTTTGGTAAAAGCAGGATAGAAACAAGTCTAAACCATGCATGTAAGAATATTACACGACTGAACAAGGAATGAGGATTCAGTTTGAAGGAACAAAAATAACATACCAGAGTCATTAAAAGCAAAATTCTGAAGGGAACAAAATGAAGAAACAGACAAAAGATAGAGAACAAAAGCTTAAAAACTATACCTATATAGCCACAAAGATATCAAATAAATAATTATGGTCAGATTAGCAATGACTTTTCTGCATTATAAAGCAAGCTGAGGTAGACACTTTAACAAAAATGGGCATACAAGTTTCAAAATGCCTACCTAGAATATAAATAACTACTAAATCACAAGACAGTTCTGGATTCATGTGTCTACTATTGAGACAAATATATTAATAGGTAACAATCAAACAAAAAGTACCTGTGATCAAACTATCAATGTCATTCCTATTGTAATTATATAAAACAAACCAGTCTAACCGTTTAACAAAATTAGTCACACAAGTCTAAATGTACCTGCCAAAAAGATAACCACTAAACCATACACAAGGCTTGACTTCATACATCTGATAGTAAAACAGATTAGTAGGTAATAATAGGAAGACAAAAGCAGTAAAAGAAACACTCCTGCGATATCACACAGATAGGTATGGAAAGATAAAATGAGATTTGTGTTCACCATAATATATTGTAAAACAAGTATTTTGCCTTCTTCAAGAATGGTATGGCCAATCACATAGATAGCTCAAAACAATTCAGAAACAGTGAATACAATTTAAACCTGCAACTCTCTTGTATACTCATAATATATTGTAAAGAACTTGCTTACAACTGAATTTTTCTTTGGTATTGCTCTACCTCTTGCTTCCTGATTGCCAATTCAAAGAAAAAAGATTTAAAATGGATGACTTTACTTTAGTACATATGTGTGGCAACAATAATGTAATAAAGTTCAGTTGTAATGTATGCCATACCATTCTTTGATGATATTAGCATTTGTAAAGATAGACCTAACTCCTCAACAGCTAATAGCTACTGGAGCTGTAATTTACATCTACAAATCTATTAGTTTTAGGAATCCTCCTCTTGCATCATAGACTACTGAAAAACAATTTAAAGACAGTGTAAATTTTCTACAAATATTAAAACAGTAATTGGATAAGATATGTGCCATCAATGTAGTCAAATTTGTAGTGTGCTACGTGATTTTACCAATCTTAACACTAATGAAATTTCATGCAAGAGCTCTTGCATAGTCTCTAGCTAATAAAATCCCTAGACAAAATTTCAAGTCATCAATTTAAGGAAGATGTTGTTCAAGCTCTGGTACAGAATAGAATTGTTAATTCATATTAAGCAAATCCTTGTTCTATCACTGACAAAATCAAAGCCTCTTTGGATGCTCAAAAGGTTCTTTTACTTTGCATGTAGCAAATACCACTCCCTTTCATAAGCAAGGTGATCAACTACATATGATTGGTCATGGTACAAACTCCATGAGACATTCATAAAAAAGCCAACCAATCAGCACCAAGAGATGGAATCCTAAGGACCGCTAGACAATTTTCAGGCGCTACAACAAGATATAAAACACTAACCATATATTTAACAACTAATTTACAAATTATAGTGGAAATACACAGCCACTTTATAAAAAACATAGGACTTCTTAAAACACTCTTGAAAGTCAAACAAACCATCTCCACTAACCAGACTAAATGACAGATAAGACCATGACAACTCCATCCGATTCAGATTAAAGCTAATAAAAAGTATATGGTTGAGAAACAATCATTAAGAATGGTCAAAATCCTAAATAATGAGAATTCACAAACTCACCTATTGAATATGTTCAGCCACGTAATCAAGTAGTTTTTTTCCATCCTGAACATGGAATTCTGCCAAAAAAAAAAAGAAAACAGGTTTAAAACAAAAATTAAGTCTGAATTCAAAATTTATTTCAAGTAGACGGGGAGTGATAAAAAACTGAAGAATTATAAATTACCATCTGTAAATCAGCCTCAATCTAAAGAAACGTAAACTCATTACATTATCCCATAACAACCTGAACCACTTCCAATAAATTGATGAGACAAGCGTGCGAGCGAAAAGAACCAAAGAAATGTCCAATTGCAGCACCTGCGCATGAAATTGATAAAAATAATAAAAGAGTAGAGGAGAAAAAGATTAGATAAGAAAGGAGACAAAAAACCCAAAGAGGTTTGGCCATACCACTATAAAAGAAAACCCAAAAAATTGATGAGATCAGATACTAAGAATTCCACGAGCAGCATCCCACTGGTCATCTCTGTTTCATGGAAAAAAAATACATTTTAGAGAAAATATTGATTCGGCAACTTCTAAGTTCAATATGGAATTGGGAGAAATAACGAAAAAACAGATATAGAGAAAGCAAGAAAGCAAAGGCACCACCATCGCTGCTGATTCTTCTTACCTTTTCCCTCCTTAACCTGCACTTTTCACACACAAATCGCAATCAACTATCGATCTACAAGCATCTGCAAAGAACGGCGCAGCACGGGGAAGAAAAAGAAGAACAAAGCGGCGGTGGGCGAAGCTTGAGAGCTTACTGTTGATTAGGATTCTGTTGACCCGCCCATGTGTTGGAATGGAAAGGGTTGTTTGAGGCCAGATTTTAGAGAAAATGAGAAATTTGGTGGCCTTCACAAGCGAAATCACCGGCAAAAGTTAAGAGAAACAAAATCAGGGTTAACATCGAATCAAGTAATGAGATTCCAAAATGAACTACTAATCTAGACTTGTGCGGATCTTCACTCGTCTGGAAGTTTTATTGAAGCTTTCAGAGGTCGTGGAATCAAGAATAAATACGAGCGAAAGCACGAGAGAGAGAGAGAGAGAGAGAGAGAGAGAGAGAGAGAGAGAGGGAGGAAAAGGACAGGAACGGAGAGAGTCTGAGGAGAAGAGGAGAGAAAATAGAGAAGAAAAGGAAGAGGAGAAGATGAGAAGCGGCGCCTCAGAGGTTGGGTTTGATTTAGGGTTAGAAGAAGGTCTAATGGGAAGCTAACGCGCGATGCGCGAACAACATAATGCTTCCAATCCACATGCCGGGCACGTGAGAGGACGACGAAAACCTCCAGCTCATCACAGCCCTTCGGCTCTTTATCTACTTATGTTGAAAAGCTGGAGTTGGCATCCTTTCCCCACGTACGGGATATTGCCATTAAAGTTAAAAAAAAAAAAAAAAAGTCTTGTGTGAGATTATAGTAAAATTAAATAGCTTGCTTTGCTCCTTTTTTTTAATCTTTTTGTGTAATTTGGACAACTATATTCACGATTATTTTCAATACGCGATATTAAGTTCCTTTAAAAAAGAAACACCTAAAGATCAAAACTCTTAACCCACAAATATTGAAGTCCCCTGCAGCTTTAGAGAACTTGAAAATAGCCAAGAAGACATTGATCAAATGGATAAAATTGAGACCCAAGAATTATAAGTCTTGGATTCTAATCTCTTTTTTTTGTCAACACGATAAATTCTATACTACAATTACTCTATACTAGGGAGGGGGGACCTAAAAAGGTCAATGAGAATTCGGTGAATCACTACTAGTCCAGACAGGTACCTATGTATCTGTTGGCGAAACATTTTCAGGAAAGTCTGGATATTAGAATGTAGACCAAAAAATTTGATCACTTGACCTATATCCAAGTAGAGTTTTAAAGATCTCTCAAGTCTTAAAGCTCTCTAATCCCCCTATTCCATCCTTGCTTCTTAAAACCCACACTTCCCTTGCTTGGAAAAAAATTAAAAAAAAAAACTTGAAAATAGAACTCTTTGGCTTACTTTAGGTGCTTTAGTAAAAGATGATGAAGTTAATACAGCAAAGCCTGATCTTCAGAAAGAAAACCTTCTGCCTCAATTTTCTTGAACTCATGCTCAATCTGATCTCGGGATGAAAATCTCCAACCTCTGTTTCCTCCCAAGTCATGTTCAAGGTTCATTGCCAAGATAAGTATCTAAGCCAGTCAAGCTCAGAATGAGCAAAAAGTGACGGAAAGATCACTAGTGTGGCCAATCATGGTGTTTAAACTCTAGTATGATAAATTTAAGGTTTACATTCTCTGCATGTCCAATAAAGTGTGTTAAATTGTTTTTGACATTTTAATAGACCTCACCAAGGACGAAAAAACCGATTAAGTAAGAAAATGATGTTTATTCATTGTAAAAAGAGAAGAACTTGTACATGTATAATCAAACATCAAATATCCCATATTGATGACAACAGTAACAGTATCCAGGACCCTTTGGAAAATATGCCATATTCATCATTCTTCTAAGAGACGTCAGAAAGAAGGATCTAAAGTATCGAAAAGTAAAAGGGGGAGTACAAAAATCAAGGTTTTCGATTCCACCAAGACAATTGCTATGATGGATCAAACTGAACCCCATCCACCACCGCCAGGAGTAAAAATCTGAAGAATTTCGCCAGCATGAACCTGGACTGTATTTTTCCCTCCAAGAAATACCCTCCGTTTATCTTTTGTAACGAGGAAGTTTGCACCCCGAGCCCCATCTTTTCCTCCCTTCAAACCCCTAGGGGCGTGTACACGCCTTTCTGAAAGGATGCTCATGACAACAGGACGTCGAAATTCAATCTCCCTGACGAGACCATCACCTCCTCTATGAAATCCTGCACCACCGCTATTTTCTCTCAATCCAAACTGATGCAGAAAAACTGGATATCTTTGCTCAAAAATCTCTGGATCAGTCATGCGAGTATTGGTCATATGACACTGGACTCCACTGGTTCCATCCCAACTGGCGCCAGCTCCACTTCCACCTCCAATTGTCTCATAGTAGCCGAAAGTATCATCCCCAAAGGTTAAGTTGTTCATACAACCTTGAGAACAAGCACATGCCTGAAATGCAGTAAGTATAACATCAGTTACTCTTTGAGATGTTAGGACATTCCCACCCACAACCGCAGCTTTGTCACTTGGAGACAGAAATGAACCAGGAGGAATGTATATTTTCACAGGTGCCAAGCAGCCTTGATTAAGAGGAATATCAACATTCACCAAACAGCGTAGGCAGTAAATGACTGCTGCAGCAGTGACTGCTTCTGGTGCATTCCAATTACCACAAACTTCTGGGCTTGTCCCAGAAAAATCAAAAAACGCTTCACCTTTCTCACCATCAATAGTAAGTTTTAGGTGTATAACAGACCCATCATCCATGTAATCTTCCTCTTCAATGGTCACTGAATCTCCCTCCTTAGACTTGGTTGACTCGGAGACGACACTGGATGCAATAGACTTGAGCATTTCTCTCACTGCTTCCTCTGCATTATGCTGCACATAACTCATATAAGCCTGGACAGTCTCCAAGCCATACTGCTCAATGAGCTCCTTAATAAGGGATATTCCCCTTTGATTTGCAGCAACTTGAGCATGAAGATCTGATAGATTATCTTGAAGTCTTCGTGTTCCAGGTATGTTGTAAGCTGAACCATCAGTGCTTGGGAACTTGAGAAGTTTGTTGATTCCTTCTTCCTGGAAAATTCCCTTCTCTACAAGCTTAAATGCCTTTATTGCTGCTCCTTCTTCCCATATAGCCTTGGAAAAAGGAGGCATACTTCCAGGAGTTATACCTCCAATCTCAGCGTGATGCCCTCTGCTTGCCACAAAGAATACCAACTTCTCTTTGTCAAAAACAGGTGTGATAACAGTAATATCAGGTAGGTGGCTACCACCAGCAGAAGGATGGTTAGTAACCAGAACATCTCCTTCGTGCAAATCATTGCCCCAGTACTTCAACTGCCACCGGACACTGCTGGACATAGCTCCCAAATGGACAGGGACATGAGGGGCATTCGCAACAAGACCCCCGTCAGGACCAAATAGAGCACAGGAGAAATCTAGACGTTCCTTAATATTTGTTGAGATGGAAGTTCTCTGTAGTGTCCGTCCCATCTGTTCAGCTATCCCCATAAACCTGTTATTGAAGATTGACAGCTGCACAACATCTGCAACATTTCCGGATGCTTTATTCCCAGCTGAAGTTGATTCTATCTCAATTTTGATGTTGCCATACTTTGTAATCAGTGCCTTGCACTTGGGCTCCACAATCACAGTGCTATTGCCATTTATAATGATTGCTGGGCCAGGAATGACATGGCCACAGCCTAGCTCCTCAAGTTTGAACAAGGGTGTATCCTGCCAACCATCACCAAAATAAACCTTGTAGTAACCTCCAACTTGAGGGGTCCTCATGGCAGCATCCAGGGCCCGTGGCTTCAATATATTGGTGACTCCAATACCACGAACTCTTACATCACATATAAGGATATTTCTGTTTTGAAGTTTAAATCCATATTCTCGTTGGAATAACTTAACAAATTCAACAGCATAATCACCTCTTGATCCATCTTCATTAACAGGGCTCTTTACCATGATCGCAGTATCAGTCCCTTCATACCTTAAATTGAGATATTCTTCTGTTTTTATATTTCCCTCTCTAAATCCTTGCTCTTGCAATTTCTGTTTTACCTGCTTCAACAAGTTAGCTTCTCGGCTAGAGACCTCCAGCAGGGACTCAGGGCCATAAACAGCAGAATAGGGCTCCTGTGCCTCCTCTACAACATCTGCCAACCCCATCCCATATGCACTCAAAATCCCACAGAAACGGTGAATAAGCACTTCCTTCATACCCAATGATCTAGCAATTGCACACGCATGCTGGGGTCCAGCACCTCCAAAACAAGCAAGAGCATGGTTACTTGTCTCGTGGCCCTTCACCTCAGTCAATTGCCGTATTGGACGGCACATGGTTTCATTGGCAACCTTAACAAATCCCAGTGCAATCTCCTCCACTGTCATATCCTTTGCTGATGAATCCTGGCTCTTGCGGTAAGAGTTAATTTGTTTTGCAAGTTTCTCAAATGCAGCTCTAGTTGCATTAATATCTAATGGCTGATCTTCATTTGGACCAAAAATTGATGGGAAATAATTGGGAATCACATACCCCAGAATAAGATTTGCATCTGTCACAGCTAACTCCCCACCTTTCCTGTAGCAAACAGGTCCTGGATGTGCACCCACAGATTCTGGTCCTACTCTGAAAGCTCCAAATTGGAACTTCAGTTTAGATCCCCCACCAGCAGCAACAGTGTTTATATCAAGCTGAGGTGCTTGGATTATTGCTCCAGCAATCTGTGTTTCGATGACTTGCTCATAATTACCAGCATATCGGCTTACATCAGTGGATGTACCACCCATATCAAAACCAATGAGCGGCTTATCTGTTTCAAGCCCATAAAGAGTTTGTGTGTAGCCAACTACACCACCTGCAGGACCTGACAAAAGTGCTTTGTGGCCTGAAAATCTACTTTCAGGTGCAAGTCCTCCATCTGATTGCATGAACAAAACATTCAACTTCCCCAGACCTTCATCAAATTTGGACATAAATCCTGATAAATACTCTTTAATAACAGGAGTAAGATAGGCATCCACACTGGCAGTGAGACCCCGAGGAACAGCTCGAACCATAGGAGTCAAAGCAGATGACAAGGAAACATGCCTGAAACCCAAACTCAAAGCCAACCGCTCCACAAAAACTTCATGGTCAGGGTAAGTGTAAGAATGCATTAAAACAACAGCTAAGCAACTGATGCCTTTCTTCAACAAACTTTCAAGCAAAGGCCTTAGAGCTTCCTCATTTAGGGGCTTCGTAACCTTGACAAGCTCGCCTGAAATGCCTTTAATTATAGATGCAGAAGAATCTGGAGTTATTTTCTGATCGTCAGGCACAAGTTCAACTCTCTCATCAACTTCTATGACCTCTTCATAAAGATTTGAAGGTTTTGATACAGTGAGGTCAAAGATATTGGGACGGGCCTGGTTGCCAATCTGCAGCAGATCCCGAAAGCCCTGAGTGACACATAGCGCAATTCGTTCCCCTTTTCTCTCCAACAAAGCATTTGTTGCTACAGTTGTTCCCATTCTTATCCACTCTATCTTATCTGT